TTTCAARGACTCTGGACCATGGAAGCGATTGCTTCTATTATTTTGCATACTTAGGTAACTAAATCATGAGGTAATATGTGGGGAAAAGAACAAAAAGGCTTATTATATTAAAATAGKTTTTTTAAGAATATAGTTCCTTAGAAATACTTTTCCTAGGAGTAACAAATACACTTTCCTCCTGTAAAAAATAATTAAAAAATAATCCACTGTTATGATTGAAAAAGTGAATGTGCAGCATCTGCATTTCTTTCTTAGTGGTTGGGTGAATGGCAATGTGAAGATATGTTCTGCAGGAAACATCCTATGAATGTGATAGGAAATATGTGATATGAAATATGTGAATCCTTTTCAGTTAACAGGTACGTACACTGATACCAAATGATGCTCCTTTGCTTCGTGGTAAGTTGAGGACAATATGAGAAGAGAGTTGAGMAAATAGTTTGAGAAACTACTTTGTTTACGAGCTGCAACGTAGGTTTTTCACAGAATCCCAGAATGGTTGAAGTTGGAAGGGACCTCTAGAGATCATCTAGTCCAACCYCCTGCTCCAGCAGGGACACCCGGGGCRCAGGGCGACATCCAGGCGGGTTTGGAAGMTCTCCAGAGAGGGAGACTCCACARCCTCCCTGGGCAGCCTGTGCCAGGGCTCTGTCACCCTCACAGTGAAGAGCACCCAAGTATTTTAGTGAATTTATTGAGTCCCACACGAGTCGTTATTCCCATGATGTTCTCCAGGAGAAAGATCCCCCCAGCTCTTCAGGGGTCACTGCCTGGTTCTGCTGACCTTGTCTTTAAGGAAGGGCTACGTTTCAGGAGCAGAAGTTGTGAGAAAAACCCACCTTGCAAAGAAATGAGCATGTCATCATAAATCTTAGTTGCCATAAATTCTCTAAGCTTGCTTGTTTGTTAGTTTTTAGTGTATTATGGTCATTTTTTACCCTTTTCCCCTCTTGTTTTTTTCCTACTAGCAATTAATAACTCTTGACAGTCAGAATTTATGCAATATAGAGAAGAATTGACCTGTTCTCCTGGGTTTTGCAGTTGTAGAGTTTATAAACATACCAAGACTGATGTTTGYACCAGACAGCTTTCCAGTTTGGTAGTTCTGTACTTAAAATCCCCAAAATTGAAGCTCATAGAGGAATCTTTACGTTTCTTAAAGACATTTGAGCCAAACTGGAAGCAGGAAAATGTTCCAGTCAGAGCCAGCAGGGAATTTATTCTGCACTCCAGTGTGAATGTGAGAAAAGAAGAAATGCGATGAGTGACTAATACAAGGAGGTCTTTCCTTGGCTTTATACTGAACAAATATATCAAAATGCTGTTTTAAACACTTTCTTTCTGTAAGGAAACTGTTATAAACAGCAGAAGCAGGTGAGTGACTGTAAATTCATTAAATCTGAGAGTCTTTCCAGTTTATTTAGATTACAATATATAGCTTCATGCAGTAAGGGTCAAAACCATTTAAAATRCATTTATTTTAATGCTTTTAATGCACATTTTTAATATTCTAAAGTATCAGATATTTATGTATTATGACTTTTAACAGTTATCTTGAAAAATGTGTCGAAGCCAGTATTAGTCATAGCGGGTTTCGAGATSGGAAAAATCTATTCATCATTTATAATTAATTAAAAATATACATTCTCAAGAAAACCCATGTTCTTCAAAGCAGAATCCTTGCTCCTTTGAACTAACCAGCTGCTTTTGCTTTGCATGAAATCCTCGCAGGAAGGTGGCAATATCCCAGGTTGGAAATGGGAAGCAGTGTTTTGGCCAGGGCTATGGAGAGATGTTGAGGCTCTGCTCACATACCAGCTGTAATGAGTCTTAATTCCTGCCCAATTATCAGGTGCATTTGTCTAATTTGGATCTCTCACAGTTGCGGGCAAAGGAATGCTGAGATTTCACTGCTGTGAAGTGAGACTTTATTTACATGAGTTCAGTTGTCCATGGTTAAAGGCTCTGACTCCTTTTTTTGTGTGTGTATCAAGTGTGGAATAGTTCTAAGCTAATTGCATTAATCAGGTCTGCTCTTCCTTTCACTGTCCCCTGCTTGAATATGACTGGAGCAGTCACCTTATGGCAGGATGTCGCTGGATAGTGTTAATACTGCTTCACATTATCCCTTGGTGGGGTTCACAGGTAAAAATATTGAAAAATACAGGTTTAAATAGGCTGGGGAAGGAGGGAAGGATTCAACATCACAAAGAAATAATGAAGGAGTAAATAAAATTAAGTCAGTTAGGCTGAAAATACTGTTAAGAGTTTGGAGGGCTTATTTTGCCCACTATGCCTTTGCTTTGCTCCTGGTCATAGAAATTCGAATATCATGTGTTTTTTTTTATTTATTTTCTATGTATTTTTCTTTATTTCTTTCCCCTCTCTGGGTTCCCATCCCAACCTCCTACTTTATATTTTTACATCTTTCAAGTAAGTTTAATTGTGGATGATGTTACACACCCTGAAAGCAGGCCCTGTGTATATACCCTGTGTATAT